CACACACACACACACACACACACACTAGTAGAAAGACAAGGATACTCCATAAGCTAAACACTGCACAGTCTTGTCATTTTATCATAGTATTCTACATGCCGGAAATCTTTACAAAAGGCACTGGTTGCACAAACTATGTAATAATGCTGTGGCCACACGGGGAAACGGTTTCTCAAATGTACATTGTTTCTCATGGCAATCTTGACAAAATATGAACACGTAAATACATTTTATACAACGTGCGTGAGTCGAATTTTAACGACAAGCCGTATCTGAGAGGACAGAGAGAGAGAGAGAGAATGAGAGTCAGAGAGACTGTGGGTGAGTGAGAAAAAGAGTGGCACTGAGAGAGAGAGAGAGAGAGAGAGAGAGAGAGAGAGAGAGAGAGAGAGAGAGATAGAGATAGAGATAGAGATAGATATAGAGAACAACCAAAGAGAAAGAGATGAAGTAGAAAAGACACAGTTAGAAAGAGTACAACAATTTCTTTCTAAGACTGATTACATATTCAATAGTGACTAACTACCTGTATACATCACAGAAAACACGAGCACAGACTACGCAGATTTTGGCACAAAAGTAACACAAAAGTGATACAAAAGTGATACAAAAGTAACTGAAAAGTGTCACAAAAGTGTCACAAAAGTGGCTCAAAAGTAACACAAAAGTGGCACATGTCATGAAAGTCACCAGGTAGCCTCTCACGCCTATTTCTACTATACAAAGGCACGTAGTCAGGCCCTACTACTTACATTTCTCACAAATACCTGCGAAACCTTTTGTCGACTTGTTCTTATTTCTTCATACGCGCTCTAAAGTTCGTACGCCAGGGAGTAAAAAAACTGAAATAAAAATAATACCAAAAAAATAAATAAAACAGAAAGAAAAACAGTACCACCCTTCCCCCAACCAAAAAAAAGACAAAAACAAAAAAACCCAAACAAACCCCAAAACAACCACAACAACCAAACAGACGAAAATCCTTTAACCTTCTCGAACCGTCTATTTTCATATCGCACAAGGCTGTAAAGCCAAACTTGAGAGCACTGTAATTTATAAAAAGTAAAGACCATTATTTCCCCTATTAGTTTTGTTGACTGGAATCACTGGAATCTATTTCTAGAAAGAAAAAAACAACAACTTTCAAAAGTCTTTTCTGATTTGTAAATATTTCAAGTTTCCATCGGCTCAGATTTGTTGGAGGTGACAGTCTTCGTCCCATCCATTCTGTTTCATCTTGATTAAATTCCAGGAGAAAGACATACTATATACCTAAGGGCACATTTCCCCCATAATGGAATCAAACTTCTGTCTTTTATGTGCAAAATATCATTATCGTTACACCAGAACACTGATTCTAGAAGTCTGATAACATTATAAGGATGTAACATCTAGCGTTTCCTCTTTTATTTCAACGTAGCAGTATGTCCTGAAAGCAGAAGACTATCTGTACAGTGGTTAACCCTATCCGTACGTCGTGTTTTACTTTTGTATCCATAGGACGTGGGGAACTCTGTGCCACCACTTAACCCTATCCGTACGTCGTGTTTTACTTTTGTATCCATAGGACGTGGGGAACTCTGTGCCACCACTTAACCCTATCCGTACGTCGTGTTTTACTTTTGTATCCATAGGACGT